TCAGTGGAGCTGATCTCCAGGATTCCTATTTAATCCAACTGCTTTAGAAGAAAGAGATGGAGGAAAGGGCAGATCTGGGCCCCAAAGACTTCTTAGAGCTTCCTGTTATTAGCACTACTGTTTTAGTATTCCTGTTGCCTTTTTCTTCATTCCCCCAAAATCAACATATTCTAGAGAAGGTAGAGTGCAGATGTGTTTTTGTGACTCAAAGCCATATGAAGCCAAAATGAGTCTTTCTCCTGTCATAATTATAAGTAGGGCCTTAGGCTGTGTTTACTGCCTCTAAAATAAATGTGGTGCTTAGCTTCTCAGTTGCAACACTTTCCAGCTTTTATGAAAGAAATAAACAAAAATAAAATGTTATTTTAAAAGTAGTGTCAGAAATTAAATAAATTACCCTCAACAGTGTTGTATATTTAAAAAAAAAAATCGGAGGGACTGTTCAGTAAAGCCTTTACAACAAAAGCACACCAAAAAAAAAATTTTTTTTTTAAGCAGTAAATAAAAAGAAAGCTTTCTGCATTTGGCAGTGGTTATATCTTATAATGTTTTAACTATTTAGGCTGCTTTTTTAAACTTTCTCTCAAATATATGTAGACTCAGCATGGTGTGAATAGTGTGAGCCTTATTAGTCTCTGGTGCCAGGCTGTGTAGGTTCAATTCCCAGTTCTGCCATGAACTGGCTGTATAATTATGGGAGAGTTACCTTCTCTGCATCTAGTTACTTCTTCTATAAAATGGAGATTATCGTCGTACCTGCCTCACAATGTTGTTATGAGGATTACATGAGTGGAAAAAAAACAAATACCTTGTAAAAGTATCTAGCACCTAAGTGCTATGTACACATTTGCTTATTTGTTTTTAAAGGCAACTTTATTGAGGTATAATTAGGGTACAATTTAAAGTGATAAATATTTATATAATAGCCACAATACTCAAGCCATACACTGTACCTGTCATCCTGACATGTTCCCTCATGCCTTTGTAGTCCGTTTTTCCCTAGACCCTGACAATCTCTAATCTATTTTCTGACCCTATACTTATGCTTTTACAGAATAAATTTATACAGAATCATCAGAGTCATGTAGTATGTAGATCTCTGAGTCAGTGTGGGGATTGGTAGATTTTTCGGTAAAGAGACAGATAGTGCATGTTTTAGGCTTGCAGGGTATATAGTCTGTGCTGTAACTACTCAACTCTGCTATTAGAGTCATGGGCAGAATTAAACATATTGATCAGGCAAGACTGTGTTTTACAAATATTTGCCTACAAAAACAAGCAGCATCCAGATTTGGGTTGAAGACCATAATTTGCCAGGTCCTGATTTAGCATGATGCCTTTGAGGCTCCTTCATGTTATTTATTGTGTGCATCAGTAGTTATTTTTTGTTGCTAATTATTTTCCATTGCATCAATATACTACAGTTTAGTCATTCACGAGGTAAGGGACATTTGTAGGATTTTTTCCCCCCAGTTTTGGGCATTATAACTAAAGTCATTGTAAATTTTTGCTGGCAGTTTTTTTGTGTGTGGACACAGGTTTTCATTTCTTTTTGAGTAATTATCCAGGACACTTTTTGCTGGGTTGAATGGTAAATGTGCGTACACCTTTGTAAGAATCTCCTAATCTGTTTTCCATAATGGCTACACCATTTTGCATTTATGAAGGCAAGATGGGAAAGCTCCAATTGGGAGGCATTCTCAACAGCTCTTGGTATTTTCCTCTGTTTTTAAAAATTTCAGTCATTAGAAAAGATACTAGATTGAAGACACTAGATGGAAGATGTTACCTTAATTAAGTCGGAAACTCTTGAAGGGTTTTACACATGGAAATGACACTATTGGGTTTTTAAATGACACTATTTGGGTTTTTAAATGATTACTCAATTTGCAGTGTAGAGAATGATTTGGAAGGAGGCAGGGTGGATGTGTGAAGACCTCTGGGAGGGGTATTACATTAGTATAGGGGAGAGGGAAGATACCTTGACTTGAAAGGTGACAGTGTAGAGGAAGAAGTGACTATATGGGATAATTTTCAGGAGGTAGAATTGACAGGACTCAGTGATTGGTCAGATATGGGATTCAAGAAAGTGGAAGCTCTCCTGAATTCTGCCAGAATTTCTGGGACATGCAGCCACATGAGTAATGTCACCCTTACTGAGATGAAGGATACTGGCTGAGAAGAAGTTTGGAAAGATAAAGTTCTCAGATCAATTTTGAAATACATGTGAAACCTCCAAATGAAAGTACCAACTAGTCAGGTCAGTTTGATATCTGGGTTCCAGAGTGAGGGAACAAAATTAGAAGTCATTGTGGTATAAAGGATATTTGATGATATGGGGTAGAAAAGAATCTCTAGAGAGAGCTCCTAATGATATGAGAAGAGTGACTATAAGGCATCTAAAAAGGAGCATGAGTGATTAATGTTGCGCAGTTGAGTGACATCCAAAGAAAGCTGAAAGGGAGTGGATCAGGAACATTGGAGAGAAAGATGCCACTGTGAGTGACCAATTAGTTGTGTGCTATTGGTTGTAGAAGAGTAGTGAGCATTTGTCTTGGTGGCAATGATGATGATGTGAAATATAGATTAGAGTTGAGGCTTGAGCAAGGAGTAAGGCAGTAGAAAAACAAGGGCTTACAAATCTTTCAAAAATCATTAGGATGACTATTAGAAACATATGAAAGGTATATATTGTTTTAATTTTTAAGATAAGAGAGGTTAGAATATGCTGGGGAGAAGGGTGAGGCCCAGGAGTGAAGACACGAGCAACAGGGTAGCCAGTGGGCATGACTAATGCTCATCAGCTGCCTGCTGAAGGAGAATCCCCAACCCCCAAGTTTAATATTCATAGTTGGAGAATAAGGAGATGTTAATGTTACCAGGTTCTAATGAACTGTATCATAATATGGTCTTTAAACTTATTTTTGAGTATTTCTAGAAAAGTTACCAAGCAGAAAATGTCAGCAATTATTTTGATGTGTGAAAATGCTCTGGCGGTTTAGTCACTTGTCAGTCTCATGTTCAAGTTCTACCCATCTGTCATGGCACAGTTGAAACCCTCAAATGAAAGGCTTTCCCTCCCTTGTCTGAATGGTCATAGCCTGGTGGTGTATTTTTTTTATTTGTTTTGTTCTTTCCTTTTTTTCTCTATTTTGACATTGGTTCCTTCTAAATATTTGTTATGTATATTCTGTGTATAGTTGGGTATGTGTATTTTTTTTCTTTTTCTACTTATCATTAGATGATGGAAAGCAAAGATCATAGCTAAAAGAGCAACTAGCAGTTATATTTATTTAGTTTGTTACCTTAATCGTATGTGAAGGTAAATGTGAGGAAGTAGTTATTAGCAGATAATTAGGAAGAGTTATCTACAGAATAGAATTTTTGTGGCTTGGCACCTGAATTAATAGCTCGAAAATTTATGATATCTAATTATAACCTTTGTTTTTATTATACTTAGCAAGATACAGTTTGAAAGTTCCCTGTTATATGCTACTAAATAGTAAAGTTATTAAATAATAATAGTAACAATAATGACTATTCAATGGTACTCTGTAATTTAACAGGGACTTTAATATCATTATTCCATTAAGACTGAGGATAACTCAGAGATGCAGAAATAGTACATCACAGGAGTTTTGTCATCATTTTACAAATGAAACTGAGGCCCAAAGAGATTTGTCAAAAGTCTCATTGCTGATAAACAGGGATGCAAAGGCCCAAATTGGGACCCTCTCACCCAAATCCAGGTTGTTCTCAATGAAACCTATGTCTTCTAGATTACTTGCATAGAAGTTCAATTGGTCAGGTGATAATTTAATCCAGATATGGGGTGTAGTTATGTTTATTTTATTTAACCAAATAAAAAATTATTTATCCTGAGTGATCAGAGTAACCTCTATGTCAGAGCTAAGATCACAACAAGCTTCGACAAGCTTTGTTCTGGTAATGCAGAGGCTGATGTGTGGCCCCTACTGCAGAATGGGAAAACACCACTGTTGCAGGTTGTGTGGATGCTATGGTTTGAAGAGAAGACAAATTATGTATCCTTGGATCACTAATAGATGAACGGGCTCACACCATTCAATATAGGTTTTTAACCTAGTGTTAGCAATTTTGGAGAAAAAAAAAACAAGAAGAAATAGGTACCAATTTTTCTGTATTTTTGATTCTGAATTCTGGCTTTGCCAACTTTTTTTTTTAATGTCAGAATCATTTTTGATTTAGGATGATGATAAGTTACATTATTATAAGAGAACTAGGGATACCTAGTTTATTTATTACCATTGAAGAGGATTATGCCTACTTTAGGTATATTATTTCAAAAACTGAAATATTGCATGATAAATACTTGAAAATTAAATTTATCTTAAAATATTTAATGGGGAAACCTATAATTAAAATCTTTGAAAAATATCATTCCCATTTAACATAGCTGATTATTTAAACTGGATAGTAACTAAATAGATACTTTTTAATTGTACTAATTTAAACCTAAAGACACTGATCTCTAGAATATATTTTGTCGTGAGAATTGAGGAATAAGGAACATATACTTTTAAGAAATTGTGGAAAGACATAAACTGCTCTTTTTTTTTTTTTTGTAGAGTCAACACATTTAAATGTTATCTGAATTGTTGTTACTGGGTAAATTATTTGCTCTCTTACCTCATAAATTATCTCTAAAGTATTTGGGAATTGCTATTTGATAGTGGAAATAATAGAATTTGGCTGTATTTAAAATTAAAACTATAAATTAATATATTTAATTTTAAACCCCGTGTTCTATGGCTAAATGGTTGAGATTCATAAAAAGAAATACACCTAGCATCCCCCACCCCCATCCCAAGGCAGTTAGTCTTGTAATTCTGTGTGAACTGTGGATTGTGTTCTCACTCCGGTGTTCCTTATCTCCATTGCAGATTTCCGTTTCTATTATGCTTTAAGATTTATTAAATTGGCCTTCTAGATGAACAACTGAAAATGGTCTGCTTTTACATCAGGTGAACCTGGCCTATGTGGAAGCGGCAGAGTACTTTACAGAACCTGTTAACAGGGAACCTCCTTCCAGGGAAGCTCAAATACTAACTTTGAAGAACACACCTGAATTTGATATCCTTGTTATCGGAGGAGGAGCAACAGGCAGTGGCTGTGCACTAGATGCCGTCACCAGAGGTAAGTCTGCTGTGATGAATGTGAGGTAAAGTTATCATCCTTCTCCCCAGTATAAATATGGACAGCATGTACTATATGCGAGTGGAGTCACCTTTCTGCTGGTATTTCCTAATTTTCCTTCTTTGTGAAGCACCTTTACAATTTGTAAAATATAGGCACTGCACAATTTTTAAAAAAAATGTCTTGTTTTCACTTCAGTGGATTTATCTAAAAAGTACATATTATATTCCTAAAAATTCTTCGATATTCTACTTTTTTCCTAATTCATAATAAATACGTTTGTATGAAATTAAAATATTTGTATATCACCTGAAATCACACATAAATGAAGTAATCTATTAAAATAAATATTCTTTTTATTTGTCTAGCTATGAAAATTCTCTCTTTCAGTGAGGTATACACTTCAATTTGTGAAAGTCAGTTTATGTGCATAAATGATGGAAAAGATATGTTAGACTATGACTAACATAGTCCTGTCTCAGTCACCCTGTCTACTACTGGTTGGCATTAGAAAAGACAGGAAGAGAAGATCCCTAAAAATGAAAACATAACATGTAAAATAAGACATTTTAGTATGGAACCCCAGTGCTCTTACGCAAGATATATGTAATAAAATAATGTCAATGAAATCCGGGTACATATTCTGACTCAGTTTACCAGGCATCAGTTACCAGGTATGTGTGTGTGTGTGTGTATATCTGCATATTTAGACTAATTACTTGATTCCTCTGGTGTTCTTCATCTTCCAAATGGGGAAAAATACCTTCTTTGTATGACTATTGTGTTAAATGTGCTAATTACAAAGAGAATTTGAACAGTGCTTTTCACACAAAGTAGAAACTCAATAAACTATAGAAAGTACTATAGCTGCCATTATTAATGTGAAGGTAAGAGATTTTTGGAATCAAGTGTCCTGGAAGAACAATACATGCTGTATCTCAAATGTATTGAATTGGAATGGGTATTGCTACAAAGAATTTTAACTCAATATTTATGACTGTTTTATACTTAATGATGATAACTTATTATACAGATATTTTTTCTCAAATATATTGATTTACCACCACCATCATCCTGTTTTAATTAGTTATCTTACATATCTTGTAGAATTTACTCATGAAATTAATTTAAGGAGATTGAAGTTCACACAAACAGATATTACTTAGATTACTGTGATTTCACAGGACTGCCACTTAGGTTTTAGTCCATGAAAACCTCACAGCCTCAGTCCTTTTTTTTTTTTTTTAAATTAACCCTCATAATGGTTAGTTCAAAATATAGGCACTGAAATCTACTCAGTTACCATGTAGACCCCAATTTTCATATAAATTCCTGTTTCCAGTCATGTAATATAATTTGAACCAGAATATTCTGGAACATTCTAAAGTGGATAGGTTAACACCTATTATCTTCATATGGTAATTTTGAACCTAGCTTTTTATCTTGGAGGCCTGGGCAGGAGTGTGAGGTCTTTCTTAGGACTACTAATTCCAGAAATTAAAATATACTGGGTGTGTATCAAAAATATCATTTCTCCAGGAGGGTTTAGGAAAATATGTTTCTTGGCATCTCTAGTCACGTAATTGTACTAAAATACATAGCCATTGTTTTTATATCAATTCTGCAGATATTCACTGAGTACCTACTGTATGCTTGGCAATGAAAGGTACTACAGGAGAATACAAATGTGAGTAACTTTAGTGTGCTCACAATTCTATAGTGATTATGTAGACCAGTCTCCATTAAAGAGAATGTGTCTTTCAAAGGGCTCAGGCAACATTATAAACATGTAAACATAAAGGTAGTCATATCTATGGAGAATTGTTAGTCAACAAGCTGCTGTTTAGCATAGTAGAAATTTTAATAGGCAAATATTGCTTGTTAAGAGTGTTCCAAGCTGAAGGAACATGCAGAAAGAGCAGCATAGAATCAGTGTGTGTAGGAGACAGAAGCACTTTAATTGGAGCATGAACCAAATAAATGGGGATAATATGAGAGAATAATAGGAAGGCAGGACTCGGTTTGTAGTGCCAGGAGAGGGATTTGACATTACTGAACAGGCCTTTGGGATACTGTAGGTTTGGAGAACATCACTTGGTGATATGGAAGGAACAGAGATGGGCACATGCTTTCAAGAGGTCTGGAGACAATTGAAATAGAATGGACGTAACCTGATGGTGCATTAGGATGTATAGAAGGGAGGGAATATATCCCAAGATTTCTTCCTTTTCCTTTTTCTTTTTCCTTGTTAAGATATGACTTATGTGAATATTCCTGTAGACTCAGTAAAAAGCCAGGCAGGAGGAGAAGCTTTAAATGCAAGGAATAGAAGGGGAGCATATGGAGCAAAGCTATGTGAAATGACAAGGAGAGGAATTTCAAAGATGAGTCTGAATTTTGGCAGGAGGATGAGATTTGTTTCTCAGAGACAGAAACAAAAGGTGAAGATTCTAAGATGTAAAACAGGGAGCTTGTGTGTGAAGTATTCCTAAATAAACAAAACCCAAGTGAGATGTTCTGCTTATGGGTGGGAGGAAGGGACTTGAGAGTAGAGCAGGCATGAACTACCTTATGGAGAAGGTAATAAAGTGCTCTGGAGGTTCTTTGTTTAGATTAGAAAATGTAGACTTGTTTTCCAAGTACGATATTTGTGTGTGTGTGTGTGTGTGTGCACGCGTGTGCGCATGCATGCACACGTGAATGTGTGTATGTGTGTTCTGTATTGCTGAAAGTAAAGGCAGATAAAATAGTAGGATAGAATCCCAAACTGAGAATAGACTGGGCATTAGAGGTAAAAGGAAAAAAAAAAATGAGGACAGATTCCATGGAAGCAGAGGAAATTGCTTAAAGGTAGACCACAAGCTGAAGCGGGCAAGACTAAGAGAAGTTAGAAATGCAGACTTTGGTAGAAAAGTTAGGATAGATTGAATAACTGACAACAAGTTGATCGCCGAATCTCTGTTACTCCTTTTCATTTCAAAAACATAGATAAGATTGTATTACTCTTTTCTAGTGTTTCTTTGCAATAGCAGTGTAGTCATCATTTACATGTATATAGTATTCATTTTTTAATGAAAAAATTCCATTTTTTTCCACTTAATGAGTGCAGTTTAAAAAAAAAAATTTTTTTCATGCTAGGCATTGAACCCAGAGCCTCATCCTGCCAAACATGTGCTCTACCACTGAGCTACATCCCCAACTTAGGTTTTTTTCTATTTAAAATAATGATATTTATGAGTCAAGTATTGAACAAGCTCTGAGAATACAAATAATTTTAAGAGTCAGCCTTGGGCTTGGGTTGTAGCTCAGTGGTGGAGTGCTTGCCTAGCATGCACGAGCCACTGGGTTTGATCATCAGCACCACATTAAAAAAATAATGAGTAACTAATAAAAAAACATAAATAAATAAAATAATAGTATTTTTAAAGAGAGTCATCATTGTCTGCAAGAAGCTTAGTTTATTAATATTTGTTATAAAATAATTGTTTTCTTTGAATAATGAAGGGAATTCAGTAGTGACCACGGTTTAATGAGTGAATTATCTCATGATTGTGGGGGTGATGGTGATGATGATGAGAATGGTCATCATGATCATCATGATTGTGATCATGATCATGATTTTGGTAAGAGTTTCAGAACCAGAATATTGATCAGGTTTTTAATCTTATAGTTAATAAAAAAAAATAATGCACTTTTAACATCTCTTGATATATTGATTATTATCTTAAGACAGTTGCTGAAGAATGTCTTAAATATATATGTATATGGAATTGTGATTTGCAGAAGAGATGCTGGTGGCTTTCTGGGAGTAGTGTTTATAATTAAAATGTATAAAGAGATGCTGAAGGTAATCTATATTTATCCTTTTACTACAATTTCTGATCATATCAGTAGCCCTCTGAAGTGTGAAATAATCATGGGCATTTGGTTAATGAATTGTGCATTGTTGCTGTTCATTCATGGAATTTGCTCCTTTATTATATTTGATGCTTCACTTAACAACAAATTTTGCTTTCTCTGCGTTTGATATGTTTTTACCAAATTATTCCTGATTGTATCCATTAATCTTTAGTCACATTTGACAAAAATAAATTACTGTGATCTTTTAAAGTTACCAGTAATAATTAGATTTTTCAGGACATCAAAGTTTTTGGGGAACCACTAGATGTTAAAGGGCTTGTATAAAAATGTTTGCACAAGCTTTTTGATAAAATACTGTGCCCAAATGCAATTTTGGTGATGGAAAAGCGAAGGCTGTGGAGGGAAGAGAAGAATCTGTAGAGTCTTCATAATGAACCTTTGTTTGCATTCTCATCATTGGCATTTTCTTGAGAATCAATTTTCATTTGTTTCATTTGGGAATATTATTTTATAAACATAATATGCACAATTCTCCTCACGTTTTCCTGCAGGTCTCTAGGATCAATAGAAATTTCTTCACCATTTAACACCTCTGTGTCCAGTTTCTGGGCAGAAGCACAGCCCTGATGCCCAGTTGTGGGCACTTTTCTCCTAAAGGAAGCAGGAATAAGGAGCATCTGATAAATATATTTACTCCCTCAGGGTTCTACCAAGTGTTTTCATTAGTTATTTATATTCTTTTATGTGACTTTATCTCTATGTGTCTGGGATCACCCAGTGCATTTTAACTCTCATGGCTTCAGTTCACATTCCAGATAAGACTGCCTCTTGCTGGAGGAAAACATTGTTTTTCTTTCTTAAAAATTCATATGTACTTTTAATTTATAATGGTGTCTGACTATCACCATAATTTTTCCACATCTAAGGCAGTTTTTTTTATTGGTTATTCAAAACATTACAAAACTCTTGACATATCATTTTTCATACATTCGATTCAAGTGGGTTATGAACTCCCATTTTTACCCCAAATGATGTGATTCTGATTCTAAGGCAGTTTTGCATAGTGATTAAGGACATAGTTATGGAGGTAGAATTAACTGGGGTCTAACATTGGCTTCCTTTGATTAGCTCCATTACCT